GAAGGCCCAAGACCCACCATCCACAGCCAACTGTAAGTTTGTCATTTACTGGGCTTCTGCAGCAGCAAAGTTGGGGCACAAACACCATGTGCAAATATGGTGCCCCTAAGTAAGTGCGAGAGAGAGCACCTAAAGCTGGAGTTCAGAGAGATCCCTTTCATTCATCCATGAGAAAAGGCCTCATTCTAATTGTTCAAGCCTGACTGGATTGCATCACTTTCCCCCTCATTTCACTCCCTCCCTCATTTGCACCCCTTGTTGGGCAGCAGTTGAGTGTTGAGTAGGGGCTGCCTTAATGATGCATGCTGATCGCTTCATTCCCTGTTGCCCCCTTCCCCCCTCCCCCCTTTAGCCCCCCAGTGCCTCCCCTAGGGCTTTGAAGTGTGTTCCCGTCTCAGGCTCCAGTTCAGAGGTCACTTTGTTTATTTATGCAAAGCTGGCTCATCTGCGAAATGGGGCTTTCAAGGCCTCTGACATCAAAGGCTCCAAAGCTGGTCACATCAAGTCAGAGCAGAGACTGGCCTTGCATTATAACAAATTAAAGCAACTTTGTGAATCATAGAGAAACATTATGGCTAGAGTTTTGCCTCATAAAAAACTGAGATGTTTTGACTTGGGGATGGGTGCTCAGAACATGGTATTGGTCTGAAAACAAGTCATGCCCATTCAGCTAGAACATGAAGCCTCCCCAGAAAGTCTGTGGGTAAATAAAATTTGATCCTGGCTCAGTAACAGCCTGTGAGTATTTCCCATCAGCTCCTCTTGGAGTCAGATCATTATGCAGAATTTTCCATTTGTTTTAACTTTTAAGAGTCAGTGGAACAATTCTGCTGTGGTAATAAATGGTAACCATACTCTGCTTATATGGTGCTCTTTGTCCCATAGGATCCCATTTGTCAGCTGATGGGGTTACATACAGAAATCCCTGTCTGAAGAAATCTAACCTGTTTTGTGAAAGGAAATCAACCAGGAGGACACATGACAGGCAATATGCACAGAGCATCATGCTTTCTGGAGTGTGAAAGAGCAATTTGGCCATGACGTCAGCACTGATAGCCGAGGCTTCATACTCTCAGATGCATCAAATCTCATACAGAAACAAGCTCACAATCCCCCTTTCACCCCACCCAACACCCAACACTTCCCCAGCCTATACCAACCCATGGCATCTCAACCTGGGAGCTAACTTGGAACAACATCCTGGGGGGCAGCAGCTGGGGGGCAGCACTGGGACGGCATTCCTGAACAACTGGGTGCCTTTGGACCCATTCTGACCCAACCTTTAATGGCCAGGTGTGATACTTGGAGGGGAAGGGGGCTACACAGGTTTGTCCCTTGTCTCCAAGTTTATCACCTGACATAATATGATAGTTTGTCACCTGACCTGATATGGGAGTCTTCCACCTAAGGTTTCTTGACAAATTATTCAAGCTTTCTAACACCACAAAAACAGCTTGTAGAGAGAGGACACCCAAATCATGTGCAGAGCATGTATTTTCCTACCCCCAAGATACTCGTGACATAAAATTAGTCAGTGATTATTTTTCAAGGCAGGTTTTCCACTTAGTCTTCCAACTGGCTGCTCTCCTAACCCTGTGATAGTGTCCAAGATGTCCAGCACAGGATGACCTTCCAATATAGGTCACGGAAAAGGGAGCTCGTAGGAAACTTCATCAGCTCATCCTTCTTAGCACTGCCTCTTGCAGTAATCTGCTGGCAGCCAGGCTGGCCCTGCTGCATAGCTGGTTTCACTGCCCTTTGGCTGCTGCTGGATTTTTTGTGTGTGTTCTTATCACCCTGACCTGGCTGCCTCTGTGGGAAGTGACAAAAGTTTGAATAAGCAATCAGTTTATTAGGTCTTTTTTGAATATAGCTAAGATTCATGATTTTGATTACCAATTCATTCTTTACGTGCTGATCATATATATTTGAATGAGACTTGTTTTCTGAGGCCCAATCTCTGTCTAATAAGGAAATTCTTCAAAACAGGGAAGAACAGACACTTCTTATGTAAGCAATGCTAACTTGGATGTGGTTGTGTCAGGTGGAAGTCAAATCTCATTGATATATCTGAATTAAACAGGGCTCATCCATAAGAAGATTGCTCCTGAGATATCTATCTCCTGCTTTTCTGTTCCACTTTTTAAATAATGCGCTTCGTTTTGGCTCTCTGGTACCACAGTTCTGTGCTTAAGACACTCACCCAAGGTGCGGGAGAGGAGGTTCAAATGCGACTGTGAATGCAGCAGAAGGACTTGACCCTGGGGTACTCTCATCCCAGATTAATGCTTTATTGTTATATTACTGGCTGTTCTCCTGGCTTGCTCACACTTCTAAGCTTGCACTGAGATTCCCTTGTTTCAAGGAATCACTCCCAAATGAGCTTTGCTGAGTTCCATCCAGTATTTCATAAATCAGACTTTTTTTTCTTTTTTTTTCGCAGTTCTCAGGTTTTCTTGCAGTTCTTGCAGCTGGAACAGAGATTTCAGTAGCATCCCCTCACCCATTGTGCACCTCTGGGTCTGGGAAGGAGGAGTAGTTCTATTCTACACAAGTTTCCATGTTTATGACATTTCCACTCCACCTAAGTCTTCTGCTATGTTTTGTTGTTAACATTGCCACATTCCTAACAAGCATGAAACTGGTTCCAGTGGATCTAAACCAACAAACCTAAATGCATGTGGCTACTTCTTGCTACCCTGCCAAAGTATTTATTTCATATGCTCACTGTGGTGACATGAGCTATCCCAATCTCTTCCCCCAAAACGATTTTCTCTGGGTTTGGTAAGTTACTCGGCAAGTTTGGGATTTGGTGGGATAACAACCCAAGAGGCATCTTCAAAAGATCAAACAGATTCAGGGCAATTTTATTGACATCAAAAGCTTGGCAGCGTGTCAAGAGGTGTTGAGGATGCCAGTCGGTCCTGGTGTGCAGGCAGGAGGAGTGCACATGGGCTGACATATTGTAACATGAGGCAGGAGGCAAGGGAGGCTGCCCTGCTCTTTGCACACTGAGCTGGAGAGGATTAAGATATAACTGACAGGACATCACCACTTTAAGGCCTTAGCCACTTTTAAGATATTCGGCAGCTTAACAGTGTGCAGGATTCCTGCATCTCTGACCATACTTTTCATTTCTTCTTCATTACCCAATACATTTTTATAATGGTACTAAAGGATTTACTAAATTCTCTGCCATGGAGCATCCAGAATTTCATTCACAGCCCAACTGGTATTTATGAGAAAAATTGTACAAGCACCAGAAAATAATCCGTTCAGTATTTTAACTGAAAGGACGCAATCCATCATAAGCAAGCCACCATATATAATGGGTAAATTTGTACTGCCTGCGTTCAGTTTGCCAAGGCTGTTTGCTGAGCGTGGCTGCGTTTCACGCTGCTTCCCCACTGCTCAGCCAGGAAAGCCTCTGGGATTCCAGGGACGGCGAAGGGTGAGGGAGGTGGGACAGGGCGGGCGGCCAGAGCGAGCTGCTGGAGCAAGGGCACGGCGTGCTGCGGCCCTGAAAGTTTTCTTTACCCCTCGAAGTGACAGCTGCACATACCTCTGGGGGGAACCGTGCCGAAGTCACCACGAGGAGAAGAGAAAAATCTGCCAGGGGTGAGGGGAGACAAACCCTTATGGCACTGCAGCTTCGCTGCTTAAGAGACAGCAGGAAACGAGAGCCAACCATGTGGCAGCATAAAGTGCCCCATGTTGAGGAGACAGGGTGATTTTCCAAACTAATGGAAACTGGGCTGAGGATGGGGTTATAGCTATGGACTTCACTCACAAAGCCAACATGCAGGTTTATATGCCACTATTTAAGCCCATTGCATCTTCTGAAGTAACTATAAAGAACAGTTCTACTCTTTGCACATTTTGCATATACAACTCTCTATAAAAAAAATATTAAAAAAATACAGAGCTTTTTCTCTCCACTGAAGAGATTAGTAAAGAATTTTCTCTCTTTTGCCTGAATTATTTTTTCTTATGAGTTTGAGGAGCTGAGCATTCAGAGGGATTCATTCCTTAGATTAGGCATTTCCACTTCTCTTGCTGGCATTTTACACTGCTGTAGAGGTAGTTCTGATAGTTCTTACTAAGGTAGATCCTGCCTTCCTCTGACCTCTCTCTGCCTACCAAGTTGCCGTCACAGAGATGAAGACTTTAGTTCTGGCTTTATTACACACACTTAGAATCATAGAATCATTAAGGTTGGAAAAGACAATTAAGATCACCAAGCTCAGCCACTGACACATCCCCACCTTGCCCACTGACCATGTTCCTCAGTGCCACATTTCTAAGGTTCTTGAACACTTCCAGGGTTGGTAATCCCACCACCTTCCTGAGCAGCCTGTGCCAATAATAGGAAGTGATTAGGGGCAGAGAACTGTATCATTGCTATAGGTGGATGGGCAGCCTTAATTTCTTTTTTTTTTTTTAAACATACATGTATACATAAAACTTTTCCATGCTTTGACCAGCCCTATCTTTGTGTTTGATATCCCTTGAGGGCTCATTTGACCCCTCAGCAAACCTGCTTGCTTTCCTGATTTTGTATGGAAACTGAAAGGCAAATTAGTGGCCCTAATTCCATTGCTTGTGCTCTGTGTGTTACTGATCACATAAGCCTTCATGACCTCCCAGGTTTAATTATCTGTAATTTTGACTTATACCATTATTTGCATAGAAGGTACAACAGATCGGCTCCTCCTAGAGAATGGCAACCTGTAAACATAAACAAAGAGTCTTTTGTTAGCTATTAATGGAAACATTGATTAATCTCCCATTGCTTTGGTTGCTTGCCGAAAAGCTCATAAAGCAGCAACTAAATTGTTTACTAAACTGGCTAAGCTGTACATGCCAGGATATGAATGCCAAATGTATGTCAAGTGCCTTTCAGCTTCACGGTGCCTGCAGGAGGAAATGCAAACTCCCTTCATCACACTGCTGCACTGCAGGAGATATTCCTAACATCTTCACTTTCCTCTCTGTTGCAGATGACACCAGCTCAGGAAAGAACAGCCAGACACCTGAAGGCTCTAATGGAGAATATGAAGATCATTCTGGGAAGCAATGGGGTAAGGAACAGTGTGTATTTTCCTTATGTTCCTGTCCAGTGTTGTTCACACAGCATGTTTCTCAGTTGCAGAAAGAAAGGAAAAGGCAGAGCAAATGGAGTGAGTTCTTCCTGCAGATGCTCAAATAATAAACAGTCAATGTGTATCTGTGGGTTTCAGGAAGAGAATGAGCGAAGTTGCAGTTGGTGTTTGCAGAGTCTTGGGCACTGGAGAAGTGAGAGAGGAAACTTGGTGATTGCCCCAGCTTGCCAACCAGCTACCATTGTGGAAGGAAATCACTGGGGAAAGCGCCTGCCCAACAAGAGTAGGAAAAGATAGATAACCCTGTCCTCATTTTCCCACAAATGACTGAGCTCTTATCCTAAAGATCTGAAAGTACTTCAGTGCTTGGTAGCACATAGGATTATTTCTGTACATATTATTAGTACATAGGATGATTTCTAAGCATCAGGAAAGCTTGAAGCAGCACTATCACTATGTGGAGGTATACATGGCAGATCACAGCAGACTGCATGTTTTAGCTAACCACCTAGATTTGTTATCTAGGGAGATGAGATAGCTGTACTCCTTCCCAGCTCTTTGTGCTCATAACCTTCTGCTTCATTTCACTTTCATTAGCTTGAACCTTCATGGTAAACAGGTTTCAGCAAGAAACCCATGCACAACACTGTTTCTTTGTCCCTATCTGCTCATGTTTTCCCTTGATCTTGTGCTTGGCATAATTTATACTGTACAAATGTGCTGTTCATGTTTATGAAGCAAACACCAAGCGATGTGGAAGAGAACAAGCAATGAAGTATAAATAATACAGGGGCACTTTGTAATGACCTTCTCTGGCACTCCAACAAGCAAAACTTCTGTAAATGGTACAGATCTAGGGACGGACATTTACCAGCACAAACTCAAAGGAGACCTTTTCTGTCTCACAGTGCTGCTTCTCTCTCCATCTCCTTTGTGATTGTTGAGCCTCTTTTTCTCTCTTATGTGTGTGTCTGTCTTCTTCTCCTTTTTTGTCCACTGTCCTTTCTAAACTCGTCCAATTCAGGCTTTTGTCAAGGAAGCATTCAGGGCTGTGTAAATGGGATCTGATTTCAGCATATTGCATGTAGGCTGAAGTAGCTTTTGAGAGCGCATAATCACTTAACTTTCCCTAAACAGAACAAGAAAGAGAAAGAGCCAAACAAGTTTAGCTTTACTTGTAGCTTAGTGTGTATCTGAGCAACGTTGCATGAGAGATGAGTGCAAAACTTCAGACAGATTTATGGGAATCAGAGCAGGAGAAAAATACAGAAATGTTATAGGTCTGCTTCTGGGGAGAAAGTTTCTCTTTTGCACCACTCTTACTGAACACAGAGATCACGTCCCGAAATACTGCTGTGGAAGCAGGAAAGGGTGAGGGGAAAGGCCTGAGCTTGCAGTCATTCCTAATATTCAGCCCTGATGGGGTTAATTTCCCCTCTAGAGGCCAATTGTTTTGGTGGAAGGGAGCCTCCTCTTGCAGCAAATCCTCAAGGGAATACCCAGAAATTTACACAGAAGGAGCTGTGCAGGGGGTTATTTACGCACCAGGAGCTGTGCAGGTTAGTATGTCACACTTGCTGCTCAGCTGTCATGGCAAGGATTCTCAGAGCCAGAGTTGCTCCAGTTCATTAGATTACACATGAAAGTCTCTGTATGGAGAGCAAAGCATTTCTCAGCAAGAGTTTGAAATAACATGAAATGGCTGGGACCCAAAATGACAGTCAAGGAGGGCGAGAGGAGGCTGCAGAGGCAGATGGTTTCTCCTAAAGAAAGAGACTCCGAGAGAGGGGAATGCCAAAGGGTGTCTTCTTCTGAGAGGAAGATCTGTAGGTCAAGGCTGCAGATGGGTGAGAGCACCAGGGGACAGGGTCACAGACCTCGGAGGGCAGTGGCTGCAATTTGAAGATGCATGGAGAGAGGAAGCTGCAAACTAACCTCCTCCATCCATCAATTCTCCACTATAATGCACATCCTGGAGCTTCTGCCCGTTGCTGGGCAGCAGGGCTGACTCTATAGTAGGTAGTCCCACCTGTAGCAAACTTCCCCAATATCTGAAGTACAACCTTCTTAGCTTGCTTTGATGTGCTGTGTTCTACTGATGTTGTGGATCTCTAATTGCAGTGGTTGATGGGCATGTCCAAGCCAATGGCCATTCATTCTCTGTTTTTCATTTTCTCCAAGCAAAGAAAGGAAATACAAGAAAAGCTGTAATTTCTTTTGGATTTCCAAGCTTTTGCCTTGCAACAAATCATATAGCATTAAGTGTCTTAAAAGCGTGCAAAGCAAAGCATTTTTTCTTTCTACTGATTAATTAGACCAACTCATGATTTTATAGGAAGATCCTCACCAGTATTACTAAAGCTACCAAGGTATGAAGATGCCACTTCTTTTCCTTCTGGAATTCTTATCTAATCCAAATCTGAGGGCATAAATTCTAGATTTTGCCAGGTGAGGGACCTCACATTTCTCTGGTGTTCTTGTCACTGTTTCTAGGAATACTAGTTATTTCGATCCTAAATCAGGGTAACTTTATCTTATCCCATGATTCTCTCCACCAGCAGATATTGCTTCATAGTACTGGGGATGGATGGGCATTAGGTTGACTCAAGTTTTCTTTTATTGTATATTTCCATGTGTTTTGTTTGTTTCCATGTGTTGTGTTTGCTCTACTCAGCACTGGTGAGGCTGCACCTCAAGTACTGTGTTCAGTTTTGGGCCCCTCACTACAAGAAAGACATTGAGGCCCTGGAACGTGTCCAGAGAAGGGCAGCAAAACTAGTGAGGGGTCTGGAGCACAAGTCTTATGAGGAGCAGCTGAGGGAGCTGGGATTGTTTAGTCTGGAGAAGAGGAGGCTCAGGGGAGACCTCATTGCACTCCACAACTTCCTGAAGGGAGGTTGTGGTGCAAAAGGGTCTGGCCTCTTCTCCCAGGCAAATAGTAGGACCCGAGGAAATGGCCAGAAGTTATACCAGAGGAGGTTTAGGTTGGATATTAGGAGAAACTTTTTCTCTCAAAGGGTGGTCAGGCACTGGAATGGCTGCCCAGGGAGGTGGTGGAGTCGCCGTCCCTGGTAGTGTTCAACAGGCGCCTGGATGAGGAGCTACGAGAGATGGTTTAGTGCTTGTGGTACTAATAGGAATGGGAGGGTGGTTGGACTAGATGATCTTGCAGGTCGTTTCCAACCTTGTGATTCTGTGATTCTGTGTGATTCCTTTGGGTCTTTCAACATGAATGCTACGTAAGTTAATACTCAGTGGATCTGATGCCTTTTAGTTCAGATGATTGTTCAAACGTCTTGCTCACTTCTAAGACTGCGTTACAGTTTGAAAAGTTGTTGACCCTTCCCAAGTTCCACAATAGCCAGTGAGAACTAAGAGGCAAAAACGTCTTCAAAAAATGAAGCTATAAGTGACAACCAAAGGACTGAGAAAATTGCCAGCTTAACAGGAATCTGTGGCTTTTTTGTTTGGTCTTAGCTAAGGTCTTGCATTTCTGGCATAGAATATGTTAACAATTATAATGTGATTGAGGGGTCACATTTTGCCTTTAGCATGATTCTAGTATTATTTCGTGAGATTCTTTGACTCAGTTGCCTTAGGGACACTGAGGAATTCTGGGGTTATTCCATGCATGAGGCTAATGTATTCATAGCAGTCCTCTAGACACTCGACTGCATCAGACTGGATAGTGCTTTCTATATGAGCTGGAATATGAGATGTCTTGTATGGTGCTGCTGAGAGCCTCTTGAGAAAATTTGGCCATAATGTTTGACAGTAGCATCCTGCTTTACATGCCTTTTGCTAATGTCAGTTGCTCATGCCTTTTGCAGCCCAGCCCAGGTTCACCCAGCCTGCAAAGATGAGACGCAGAGTCATCGCCCGTCCTGTTGGCAGCTCCATCCGTCTGAAGTGTGTGGCCAGCGGCAACCCACGGCCTGACATCACGTGGCTGAAGGACAATAAGCCCCTCATGCCCCATGAGACTGGGGAGAACAAGAAGAAGAAGTGGACACTGAACCTGAAGAATCTGAAGCCAGAGGATAGTGGGAAATACACCTGCCGAGTGTTTAACAAAGTTGGGGAGATCAATGCGACTTACAAAGTTGAAGTGATTCGTAAGTGCAGCCTCTATGGTGGAAAGGGGGGGGAGGGAGCTATCAGAAAGGGGCTGGCTGAGTTAAGAGAGCATGGTTTTGAGGATGTAGTGCTGACAGCTGGATATAAACTTGGGTAAGTGTTAGAAATACCAACAGGAACCATCAGAGAAAATGTTGCTGAAACTAGAATAAACCTAACATCCGAAAAAGACAGAGTGTTAATAATACAGTTTAGAAGTTCCTTAATAAAGAGAAACTCTTAGGAAACTGTCATCTCTGACATCACTCACATGGCATAAGTTCACAACTGACCAATTCAACCCCATACCGCTGACAGTCAGTTTAAGAGCAAAATGAGAACTTACCAAGAAGACACTTCACAGAGGGCCATAAAGGAGGGGTGGAAATACTAGGATGGTCCGGATTACTTTATCAGAGTGAAGTGAAACCAAGCAACTGAAAAGTTACACTAGACATCTGTAATAAGAGACTCACTTCATTAGAGAAATCTCCCAAGGGAATGAGCAGATATCTTATGACTAGATTGATTAGCCAGACACGGCTTCAGGGCCAGATTTTTAAAAGCATTTAGACATATGAAAGTTCAGGTGGATACAAATGAGATGCTAACAAAATTCTAAAATTCCACTGAAGTTCTGTGTGTATCTTCAGTCCCAGCCCTTAGAAGATGAGCTGTGGGGGATTACCTTACTTTGTGATGTAGTAGAGTAAATTGCTCCACTTACCGTCTAATATTCTGATTTTTGGCCTCTAATCTCCTGTTTCCCCTATTATTACTGAAGAAAATTATACTCAAAGCTACCTAAGTCGACCAAAGTAGAATTCTTATTCTTAAATCATCATGCCTTGTCTATGACATCATCATAAATTGTCATGGAAATGATTATGGAACAGCCAGCTGAAGAAGAAGATGAGCAGAGTGGGGGAAGATAGAATATCCTTCATTAATGAGGAGCAGGGGCACGAAGGGCTATTTCCAGCCACATGGAAAGCATGTTGTTTGTCCGTCTGTGCATGTGTTTTAGCATGAGAAAGTTTATCCCAGTGTGAAAGATTGTTCTTAAAGGTAAAGATCTGGTCTCTGATAAGTCCTTTCTCTAGAATAACAGGAATTAAAAGCACATGTGGGGAGCTCTGTTGGGCTCTGAAGGCACAAACCTGCTAGACATCTGGATTTGATAAAGATGCAGCTGTGTGGAGACAGTAAAAACATGTGTTTACACTAAAACCAGGAGCAGAGACAGGGAAATGAATCAAGCCCCATCCTAATGGCAGCTGTGGCATTTTCACTTCATCAAAACCAGACAGCACCAGGAACAAACCCCTTTCTGTGTCCCTGTTTATCTTGGTTTTTATCAACTTAAAGATGTATGTAACCTTTGTTTTCATTAGCTTTTGCTGGCTAGGAGTGAAAACAGTAACGAAAGCTGGAACCAGAGTCAGGCAGATAAGGGCATTAAGCAGTCTTCAGACGTCTTTCTATTTTTAACATCATTCTGTGGAGTATTTCAGGTTTTATTCAATTTCCTCCTTTTTTTTTTTTTTTTTTTTCTTCTTGAGCCTCCACTCCTAAACCCATCCTACTTATCTGAGTCTCAGTCTCCCCAGCTGTGATTTCTGCTTGTAGTCCTATGGAGACCCTGGTGGTATTTTTGTTTCCCAGGCACATCTTTGGAGCTCTCATTGTTGACAGTACCCTGACTTTTTTTGAAAGAGGGTCCATTGTTCCTTGCTGTCACCTCAAAGCCTGTGCTGGTGGGAGCTGTTGTGTTACACGATCAATCCAGCAGTGTTTTGCCTTCAAAAGTGGTTGATGATTGCCAGCAGTTACCACCCACTGTGATACCATCATTTCTCTCTGTGCTTAGGAAAGAAGTTTTCAGTAAATCCTTGTCCTTGTTTCTGTGATGCTACCACCAAAATAAGATCCTAATATTCCTAGGAATCAGGAATTTAGTTTTCTTTTGATTTTACGTTATATTGACACAACTTATGGCTTATGATCATGCTGGAAAGCATGGTCTTGTGAACTTTTGTGTTTGATTTCCTTTCCTACCATCTTGTTTCCTTCATTAGCTGAGACGTGAAACAAAATTTGAGTGAGAAATGGAAGATTTTGCCATTGTCTAGAAAAGATCTCTGGCTTATTATTTGACAAATGTTACTTCACAGTGAGTGTGTGGACAATTAGACTGAAAAAAGGAATAATAAAAGCAGATGATAGGTGAGGCTGATGCAAGATTTTCTGCACTGGTGGTGCCTGTGGCTTCAGCTGCTCTAGCCCAGCAGTGGTGATATGGTGTGGGATGACATCCAGTAGAGTTTTGATCCCATGGACATATGCCAGACCCAGCAGGAAAGGTGACAGACTGCTCCCAAGGGATTCCCAAAGCAAAGATGTGAGAAGTCCACAGTCTACCCTCACTGCTGATGGACAATCTGTGAAGGAAGGGGCTTCTTCCCATCTGTTTTTTTTTTTTTTTTTTTTTTTTTTTGTCTTTAAGAGATATTTGGAAAGACCAAAAGGAGAAGGAACATGTCTTACCCCAAGTTCCTGTATCCAAACTGTTGGTAGCCTCATACTGCAAATAATCTGATCTAAAAAAAATAAAAGCCCTTGTAAATTACACCCTACCAGAGGCAGTGATAAAAGACACAGAATCACAGCATGGATGAGAGGGGAACCTCTGGGTCCTTCTGGCTCCATCAGGGTCCCCCACTGAGCAGGTGCCCAGCCCCACGTCCAGGTAGCTTTTGGAAATGCTCAAGGAGGAGAGCCCACATCCTCTCTGGTCCCCGTACCAGTGCTTTGGCAGCTCCCACAGCAATGCTTCCTGATGGAAAGAGGGAGCTCTTGGGCTTCAGTTTGTGCTCAGTGCCTCTTGGCATTGAGAAGAGCCTGGCTCTGTCTTCTTTACATCTTCCCTTCAGATATTTCTACTGATAATTGATAAGACATTGATAAGACATTGATAAGACATTATTGGAATCACACATTTACAGTTAGATAAACCACTTAATTCATGTTCAGACCTGCTGTATTGTTCAAATTTAATCCCAAAAGTGTTTTATTCTTTTGGCTAATTTCAAGCCATTTATATTCCTCTGCAACCTTTCAAACATTCTGTAGGTGCAGGTACATCATTAAGATCACATCTTGCTGGGATGCATTTCCTGAGATATGTTTTAGTGGGAGTACAAGGAAGGATGACCTCTTTTAGCTCTTTCTCATAGTTGCAGCCTGGGAAATGGGACTGGGGAAATTCAGCTGAGATCTCAGCCTACTGTATGGCAGAGAGTTGGATTAGACAATTTTTTGCATGCATTCTACATCTTATTGCAATGGTTCTGGAATCACGAGTTAATCAGGTTGGCAAACCCCATTTTCCATGGAGCTCCTTGTGTTTTTGTGCAGAGAGAACGAGATCCAAGCCCATCCTGACAGGGACACACCCCGTCAACACAACGGTAGACTACGGTGGGACCACATCCTTCCAGTGTAAAGTCCGCAGTGATGTCAAACCTGTCATCCAGTGGCTGAAGCGGGTGGAGTATGGCACAGAGAGCAAGTACAACTCTACCATTGATGTTGGGGGACAGAAGTTTGTTGTGCTACCCACGGGGGAGGTCTGGTCCCGTCCTGATGGCTCCTACCTGAACAAACTGATGATTACTCGAGCCAAGGAAGAGGATGCAGGGATGTACATTTGCTTAGGGGCAAACACCATGGGCTACAGTTTTCGCAGTGCTTTTCTCACAGTCCTGCCAGGTGAGTTGTGCTTTTATTTCCCCAGTCTGAATCAGTATCCTGTGTTTTGGTATTTAGTAATGCATTACCTGTTGTTCTCTATGAGCCTCAGTGATGCTGTGCTGATTTAAGCTAGTCCAATTCTACTAAGAATATGTGAGCCGTGATTTAAATCAGCCCCTGCTGAATTTCTCTTGCTGATGGTTCCTTTTCTCCCATCCATGGGGATCAACAATTCCAGCAGGGTGAAATACAATGCAGGACCTGGAAATCATACTGCAGTTACAGGGTTCAGCAAGAGGGTGCAGGAGGTGAGAGGGGGACTGAATAGCAGCACAATTTGCAGCCCTATTCCCTGACATTTCTCCTTTCTCTTGTTCTTACTTGTATTGCTTTACTGGTAGAAGAAAACAATGATGCAAGCCCATAAAAGGAGAGAAGAATAAAAACTGTCCTGGTCACAAGAAAAGGAAATGAATGAATGTGAAAGAGGGAATGATTGATTAGTTAAATTCTTACCCAAAGATCCCCTGAGGAACGTTGTACCAAACTCACTGCTGCTTCCTGCTCTCCGCAGGCCTCAGAGCTGGTGTCTGTGTCCAGCTGAGGCTATATCCTGTGTATTTCAGGCACACCATCTTCACTTTATCATTTACTTCATTTAGTTTTGCCCAATAAATATTTTTATTGAAAGGAGAATCTCCTTCTGCCTCATTTGGACATGTGAATCTAGCTTTAGAACCATCACCTTTATAACAAAAATCCATCTTTCTGCTTTTTCATCCCTTTACCTGCACAAGGCCAACACAGATAAGAAAATGCAGGGGCTGGAGCCAGTATCAGAACATTTTAGCTGTCAGATCTAATGCGATGTCACTGGTCAAGATATCAGTAAGAGACAGAGACCATAAACTCTCCCAGAGTATTAGGACTGTTGTTTTTTTGTGTATGTAGTGGGAAAAATGACTCCTATAACTAAGCTACCATGGCTACTTTTGCTCTATGCTTGCCACACTCTGCATCTTAGAAGTCATCAAAAGTCAGCAACATGAATTTAGACACCAACAGCATGTTGCCAAGTAAGAGAAAAAAATTCAATTCGTCCTTAGCACCTTCTTCTGCATCACTTAGATTTAGGACTAAACTCCAACTAGAAAGCCAGTGTGAAGCAGAAAGCTGTGTGGGTGGGATATAACTCAAAGCCTCTGGAAGTTTCCAAACTACAACAGCCTGATCCAGCTCCCACTGAAATCAGTGGGAGACTTTCCATTGATTTGAATGGCACTATAATGAGGCGCCTCATACCAGAACCAGCGCCCGCAGTCCTGCTGTTATTGGCAATAACAGAGAAGGAGAACCCAGCTTGCCCTCAGAAGCAAAAATGTGGTTGCAAGGCCATGAGTTAGAAAAACAGAACTTTGCTCATAAATCTAGCAGAATTGACATAGACAGCTTAGAAGAATAGTATGGTTGAATATCAAAACACTTCTGAGTTAGCCCAGCAGATTTCTGCCAAACAATGTAAAGACTATTGTTCTCGTGGTCAGCTGATGGTCATTTCCCTGATCCTGTCTTGCTTTGAGCAAGGGGTTGACCTCCAGAGTCCCCTCCAGACTAAATTAGTCTGTAATTTCCAGTGTTGGATGAAAGTTTTGTCTATTGAGGTCAGCAGTACACGTCCTCCTGACTTCAAAGAAGCCACATGGTATATATTTAATATTTCAAACTAGCCATTGAATTGTTTGTCAAGGAGAGAAAAAGACATGAGTATTTTAAAGAAGTTTGGCTTGAAAGTTAAGTGATATATGTTTGAAAATAACATTCTGGGCTGTTTGGATAGCCTGCGGTTTTCTAAGTTTCTGAATGTCACCCTGCAGGCTGAACTCTGCACCTAGGTATTTTTCAGGGCTTTTGAAAGCAACAGCTGGTAGCTATCTAGGAAGGGACTTTGATAGCTGGGGTCCTAGCCCAGTACTCCTTTGGGGTCTATAAATCGAGAGATCAGGCTGTGAAACCAGAGTGACTGCTCAGGAAGGTGCAGGCTGCCAACAGCACAGAGATTAGGCAGCTGTGAAAGATGCTGTCTGGAGCCTTTCTTATTGCCTTATTGCCTTTCTTAAATGAGTTTGCTGCCCATGGAAAGCCAATAGTAGCTCCAAATAAATTAGTGGAGAAGGAGGCCATTTGGCATCAGTAGTTGGGCAAGTGAAATGTTAGTTCCCTGTTGCTTGGGCACCAAGGAGAAGACATCAGCTCACTTGTGATTTTGACCTTTCTCTCAGCTACACAAGAAACTCAAGACAACCCCTCCAGAACACCAAATTCTTGCTTCCTGCCCTGGCAGAGCGTAGTTTAGTAGCTCCAGTATCACTAAAGTATGTCTAAAGCTGTTCAGACACAGATATGCTCAGTAAAAGCAAGCATGCAGCATGTTGTGGCTCTGTGTGATCCAATTGTGCTGCTGACATGGAGATAGTACTGGCATGCCATGTGTTGTGTGCTTCCATCTGGACGGAGAAGCCCATGCCATCACAGAGTAAAGGTGTTAGGAGACTCTTGGGCTGGCTCTAGTATATGTACATCCATTACAGCTTGGATAAGTTAAAAAATCCCCAAAGACCTTCCCCTACACCAAAGAAAATTAGTTGCTTGTCCTTCCAGGAGCACTGAAAAGCACAGCAGTTACCAAGTACAATGTGCTGGCTTGATTTTTCCCTCGTTACTTAGTCTGGCAGAGTTGCCATACAGCCTGTACAAAACCAGCTCAAGTGTGACATCTGTTTCAAATTTACCTTGGCTGCTTTTAATTAACTCTTTCTGTCTCTTCCCTGCCATGATGTCCATCCAGATCCCAAGCCTCCGAGTGCACCTGTGCCCCCCTCCTCAGCCAGCAGCCTTCCCTGGCCTGTGATCATCGGCATCCCTGCTGGGGCGGTCTTCATCTTTGGGACAATCCTCCTGTGGCTTTGCCAGACCAAGAAGAAACCTTGCTCCCCACCAGCTGCTGCCCCTGTGCACCGGCCGCAGCCCCGGGACAGGATCTGTGTTTCCCAGGTCCCAGACAAAGACTGCATCTCCTCCATAAACTATGAGGAATACGTCGCCCAGCAGCAGCATTTACTGTCCCAAGGGCCTGCGCTCGCTCCAGCCATGGCATCCAAAATGTACCCAAAGATTTACACGGACATCCATACCCACACCCACTCGCATGTGGAAGGCAAAGTCCACCAGCACCAGCACATTCAGTACCAGTGCTAAGAGGGCGGCCGTGTACAGAAGCTCATGGGGGCTTTTCCTCCTGGTACCTCAGAAGAGACTGCTCAAAGTCAGCTCACACTGCCAGCAGTAGGCAAAGCAGACAGAAAAGATTATATATATGATTTTAAATATATATATACATATATATATAATTGTATATGCGTGTGTATGTGTGTATATATATATGTGTATATATCTATATCTATCTATATAAATATATATATAATAGAGAAAGACAGAGAAAAGAGATTTTTTTTTTTTTAATTATTGCAATCAGGATGTAGCCAAGGAATAATGAAGGAACTCCAAATCCCAGCAGCTAGGCAGCTGTCTCCACCAGTGGAACCTTCCTGGATTTTTTAAGTAAGGTGGTGGCAAGTGAGACAGGATGTAGGGATATAAACCACCGCCTCCTTCTGTTGCTGAAAGGAGCGAAAAAAGGTGACATGGTGCTTTTCTAGGGCAGGCACCCCTGTTCTTGTGCTTGCTGCATATCGTGTTTTGGTGGGAAGACCCCAGACCTGTCCCATTTATGTGGGAGAACCTTTTCCCTTAGAATGACTCAAGCTTAAAGATTTAGTTCCAAAGCACAAGGAGAAATGACCAACTCACCTCTTCCTAATAACACAAGGGAAAAAAAAAAAAAGAATTTATGTTCCCAAAGTGAAATGTGGAATGTTTCTCAAGCACAGTTGTCTTGTCTATAATGCTAACCAAGATGCTTGCTTCAATTTCTTCAAGTTAAAGGCATTGAGTTCCCCCATAGAGGGTTTTACAGAGCACATGTCACTGCCCTAGTCCCAGGACTCAGTGCCACTGCCATGAAAAAGGAAGGAAGGAAAGAGGAACGTTGTACAGAACACCTTTATATTTATATTTAAGAAATAATAATAATTAATAATAATAATAATTGAACTGCTGATGGTGAAGAAAGCAAAACACGCTGCCCTTCTCTGATGGCTTACGGTGACAAGCTACTGGATTCTCTACATCAATGCAAGATACGTGAGAACATAAGGAGAAACAGAAAAAGAAAATGAAATAATAATATTGTAGGAAAAATTGCATTTGAGAAATATTCACCTAGGTTGTGTGTGGTTGTCCCCTCCCCACAGGTAGCATTTTGGAAATGATACAGTTTCATTCCGGTTTGAACAACGGTGAAAACAGAAATAAAAGAGATTAATTAAGGGCCATATTAAATACCTGTATGGACTGGAAATTAATCCAAATGCAAATACAAAACCTTTGTAATTCTATATAGAGTTTAAACAGAAGTCATGTATATTTAATTTATTTTGTTAAACAAGAAAAAAAATGTATGATATTTTCCTCAAGACTGGCATTTCTATGCATATTTTTGATCAAAGAAAATAAAGATTTTTTTTTTTGCAGGTTCTATAGATACCACGCTCAGAATATGCTCAATGTAAAAACAGTAACCAGCTGCACTTCTCTGTATGTCTTCTCAGACATAATCTCCTCGTATTATCTCAGGTTCTGAGTGCCACCATTTACATTAGAAAATTACCTTCTCCACCATTTATATTCTGATTTTTCAGGTTGGATATTAGAAAAAATTTCCTCACAAAAAGGAGTTGTGATGCATTGGAATGGTCTGTCTGGGGAGGTGGTGGAGTCAGCATCCCTGGAGCTGTTCGAGAAAGATGGAAATGTGGCACTGAGGGGGATGGGTTGGTGGGCACGGTGGGGATGGGTTGGTGGTTGGACTTGATGTTCTTAGAGATCTTTTCCAACCTTAATGATTCCATGACTCTATGATTGTGAGGATCTGCAGTGACTGGGTCATTTCCCATGGGCCACTTGTCACCTCCAGGAGCAAAGAGCTCTGCTCACAGGGAAATCTGTTTCCTTAATGCTTTTTTTTAATGTATTTTTAGGGGGGAGAGTGAAGGGAAGTGGGATAAAAGGTTGCAAACCACAAGCCTGCAGGTGTTTTTCTTTTAAAAAGAATGTTTCATAAATCAAAACATAAAAATTTGTGAGTCTGTAAAATGAGCTTCAGCCTCAGGGTGCTCAGGAGGAGAAAACACATGATGAGGTGAGACCTTTCCATGATGCTCCAGTGATGGAGCAATTGTTTGCTGCTTGCTCGAGTGCCACTCAAAGCTTGTTGCAGGGAAAAAAAATATATATGTGCCAATTTTTAGGTTTGAAACTACTTCTTTCTCAATTCTGCTCTGCAAAAGAGATCTTCAGCTTCAGCTGCTCTGACTTAGAGTGAAACACTTCATTTAAGCTGAAACAAAAGAGTGCTTCAGGCTTTTGTTTTCCTCTGAGTGTTTCCAAAACTATTTGCTCTGCATCGATTTGCAGTTATTTTTCTGCTGACTTGTTGCATCCTCAGATGCAAACCAAACAGCTCTCCGTTTGCTCAGCTGGATCACTTGAGATGGGGTCCTCATTCAGCAAAGCACAAACACTCCCACTTTCCCTCATCAACGCATGCCTCCCCAAAATGTCTCCCTTTTTGCCTTGGCCACCCAGGTCAATAACTCTCTTAACACAATGGTTTTTCTGTAGAGGTTATAACAAGGCAAGCTACTGCTATTTTATTATTATTACCAATATTTTACACTTTTTTTTAAGCGGGTTAGTTCATTAGAACTTCGTTAGTGCCATTTTATGAAATTCATAAAAGCTAAATTCGCTAAATGGATGTCTCTGCATACATTCTCTCTGCTTCAGGAAGACTTAAATACGAGCACTGAGGAGGACTCTGTATATGGCAGTGCTCTCAGTGGCTACAGTTTATTGAGTCACTTCATGGAGAAAGCCAAAATACTTTTATACACTACATGCATCGCCAGTTTTTTAAGAAGACAGCGTGTGGCTGATACCAAGAGCTATGTCTTACAACTCATGCCTATGTGAACCTACTTTTTGCACTGTGGTAGGCACTGAGAACATCTCAGCAGCTTTCAGGGCACAGTAGCTGTACCTGTAAGCTTGCCAACCTTCCCAGCTATCTGTGTTGGTGCTACAGCAAGATGGCACCTAGCTCATGCTGATACCAGCTTTAGAGGAGGTGCTCAGCCAGTTTCATTTGGTTCAGCCCTGTGCAAATCCTAAGTGATGGCCTTACAACACTTTCTAATAGCAGCTATATCATTGACCCTCAGAGCCTGCATTTCCCATAGGGTATAGTCTTCCTGCTGAGCACTTTGCTCTCAACTGCGGCCTTCTACCTGCTATGATCCAGGATGAGACCCTTCCATGATGCTTCCAAGATGATGCTATGATAGCCAGTTGGCTCAAGTGGAAGGAGCTTCCTCCTTCCTGTTGAAGTTCCAGCTCTGGTGGAAGACAGTGCAAACACTTTGATTTGCACATATATTTTATGTCCTGTCTGGATCTTGCACTGACTTGCTAGGCCTGAGTGGATTTGGTGTTTCGAGGAGTTATTTTTCCTCCACAGGACACCTATAAGCACTCTTCAGAGTCACTGTGTCCCATGACTACCACCTACCACATGCCATTTCTTTTTTAGGGCTCAATTGTGCCTTGCTTGCATTGCAAAATCTTTAGCCTAAATAAATTCTGCCAGATCCTGCGCATGTCAGAATATTTTGTTTTCACCAATGAGACAAGATTTGGACTCATCTCTGCTCATGCATACAGGGCATTTAAAGAAAATCGTAGTCTTGCTATTAACTACTGACCCTATTTGGAACACAGAAGTTTCTTTTGTTTTATACATAAGAATGCGTATATATATGGTCATATGCATGTAAGTACTGGGCTGTGATACAGAAAATAGTTGTACTTTAAAAGCCATCAGGCTTCAAAGATCAAAAGAACATCAGGCTTAAAGCTCTCCATCTTTGTTTAATTTATTTGCATTACAGATCAAACATGGCCTTACATGTCGGTTTGTGTGTGGCATTTTTAAGCTTTGTATGGACAATGCTTGTACTGTCAGCCCTTTTAAACTGAAAACCTTTATTAGACATTTACAAATAAAAAGTGTTGTGTGATTTTCAAACAGTAGCAAACACAATAACTGAGGACATCAAAAAGAGATGGGATGGCACTGTGTGCATCTGGCTGTGCAATAAAAGCTAGAAAGGAGGAAAGAATGATTCTCTTAGGTTGTTTTGAGGGAAAGGGTGGTGGGATGTGTGTGAATACACATGAGAAATACATGCCAGAATGATGAAGCACACAGCACTGAAAAATTCTCTCTGCACCATGACCCAGCCTGATTAATTAATTGCGTATGTTGTGAATCCAGGGCAGACTTCTTGGGGTGGTTTGGAAAAGTTTTCTAATTACTTAGTGAATAAATAGGCTTAGGAGAGACATGGATCTGTTAGAGCATATCCAGGGGAGGGCCACAAAAATGATCCCAGGGATGGAACACCTCCCCTGTAAGGATAGGATGAGAGAGCCAGGATTGTTCAGCCTGGAGAAGAGAAGGCTCCGGGAAGACCTGACAGTGGACTGCCAGTATCTAAAGGGTCTATCAGAAAGAGGGAGACAAAATCTTTACCAAGATATGTTGTGGCAGGACAAGGGGAAATGCTTTTGAACTAAGAGGAGAGATTTAGATTGGATATGAGGAATCAGTTTTTTACAATAGTGACAGTGAGACACTGGCACAGGTTGCCCAGAGAGGTGGTGGATGCCCCGTCCTTGGAGACACTCAAGGTCAGACTGAATGGGATCTAAGCACCTGATGGAGATGTAGGTGTCCCATTTCACTGCAGGGGGGTTGAACTAGATGGCTTTTAATCCAAATCAAACAGTTTTATGATTCTATGACGTCTATTTTTGATTGCTTCACCTCCATAGACAAATGGCATAGATGCACCATAAGCCAAACTAAATGTAGCAAGATGAAATCTTGGGTATGCAGGTGTCAATGGCAGCATTATAGTGTCCAGAGAAGAGCAGGGGGTTTAGGCTGAGACCCAGCTGCTCCAGCCCTTTGGGGTGAATGTGTGGGTGAATGGCTGGGTGCCTCACAGCAGCAAACATCCAATTGTGGCTACAAAAACAGTGATAAGACTGAAGAGGGAGATGTAAGAGGAGCAGCTGAGGTCCCGGGCCAGGAGCAGAGCAGGCTGAGGTGAGGCCTCACGGCAGCTACAGCTTCTCATAGGGAGCAGAGGGACAGCACTGAGCTCTGCTCTCTGTGACAGTG